CAGCAGGCTTCATGCATACAAGCTGATAAATCGCACACTTCCAGAAGTGAAACCGATATGGTAACTCATTTTCGGGGATTTTTGGTCTCACGCGGTTCAGATTGAAAGCATTTTCTGCAATTTAAACTTTTGGAAAGGAAATTGAAATTAAAATTTCATTATTTTAACATTTTTGTAAATAATGAAATTTCCTCTGAAAAACTTCTAAAGAATACATTTGCCCGAAGAGTGCTTCCGTTTTGGATATAGAATTCCGCTCGTTTTGTTGATTGAGGTGGCAGGTGCATACTTGTATGGACTCTATTACGGGTGGCCCACAATGTCACACCTGAGTGACCTGACACAATATTCCGGAATCCGCGTCTGAAAAGGCAGAGGCGCACTCGTACAGTATATCAGATTCAAATGCGTCGCACTCGTGAAGAAGATTTTTCTCTGTTGCATGCACATTTGTAAGATCAAATGGCAAGTTCGCTTGATAGATTCCTGACCGAGACTCACCCTGCTATAGGAACCAAACATCTTCATTTTGGGTAATTATAAAGTTACATATAATCAATCCAATGAACAGAACTTTAAAAGCAGTACTGTACTGTATTACAAGTAAAACAATATGACCTCAAGGAGGACAAACAGTATTAATTCAAGGTTATTCAATGTAAAACCTCAAATGATAAACTGTGTCCTCTTTTGAAAAAAAAATCATCGAAAGAAATCCTTTCCACTGAGTCGTTCCATGTTGAATTATGGACAAAATGGGCCAAGAAGTACAAGTTCAATTTCAGTACAGTATAATTTATTGATTATTCGGCGCACCACTTGCTGAAAAACCCCGTGTTCTCGCAGCGCTTTTTCATTATTGCGAAAAGAATCTTTTTGATCAATAAAACGGAGGGATTTTCCCCGGTTGGCAGGGTTCTAGGAGCAGCGACAGTTCGCCGGAGAGAACTGGCAAGGAAAAGTGGACCCCGGTCCCTAAAAGGAAAGCCAAAGAAGCCCCCGCGATTCATTTCGGAGTCCTGTACTCCTCAACCAGTGCTTGTCTCACGGTCAATGTAGAGAAGATCACCAACGTACCCATCGAATTCCGAAAGCACTGCTCCACGTTTTTTCGGGTCAGCCTGCAAAGCACGAGCCCCGACATCGCGTCACACCCGCAACAATCCCAGGCCAGAGACTCGTTGAATCCCCAGTTCAAGGAAAATTTCGTGTTTTCCAACATCCCGTCGGAGGAGGCGTGCGTAGCGATCCTCGAGTTTCAGCTGTTTGTCAAAAAGTACGGAAAGTTGAAGGACAAACACGTGGGGGTCGTGCAAATCGGGCTGCGGGACCTGGACCTCAAGCCAGATCAACCAATGCAGCGTTCTGAGAAGTTCACCCTCATCAGGAACCAGAAGCACCCCAGTGGTGGAGTGAGTACATTACAGTACAGTACTGTACACTGCACGACTCTCTGCATACATTTTTCGTTTCATGATGAGTTTCGTTATGTGAAAAATACGCTTTGTAAAACAAATTTCTCTTGATGCATCATCAAGGGTATAAAAAAAACGGCTACTCAAAATTATATCCTCTGATTTTTATCTCACTTGACCAATTGAAATACAGTTGAACCTCTCCAAGTCAAATTTTTAGGGACCAGGAAAAAAAATTCGACTTGGGGAGGTTTTGAGTTAGGGAAACAATCATTTTTTTCTGCAAGGATAAGTAATAAAAATTGCAGGAAATTTTAAATGAGTATATTCTGGGACTGAACTTGCTTCTTAATGCGTTTAAACCTTGCTGAACTTGGATGCAGGGGTTTATTTGCTTAATTAGTCTTTCAATTCTTCTCAAGATGCATAAAATCATTTGCACCATTGATTTTCTGTTTCATATTTCAAGGAAATAGTAACCAAAAGGCCTTAGAAATTTGACTTGCAGAGGTTTGGGTGAAAAAGACTTCGAGTTAGAGAGGTTTTTAATGCATCGTTTCTAAGGGATTTCAGACAGGCACTTGAAAACAAAATCGAGTTATGGAGGTATTTGACTTGAAGAGGTTTGACTTACAGAGGTTCAACTGTATGCAGTACGTGGGATTATTTTTTCAGCACCATATTAAAAACTCAAGAATCCACAATTTACCTCAAAGGAGAGACGAAGTAGCTTGAAAACACAAAGGTGCATACTAAAAACGCGTAGAAAACTGTGAAAAATATATAAAGGATAACATAGAATCTTTTTTACTCAGTACAGTAGTTTGCATTGCATGATGAACGTAATTTGTATTGTTCGCTCTTCGCTTTATTTTCCAAAGAGGAAAATCACAAGAAAAATCTGAATTTCAGAACAATATTTTTGCGCATTTCCTAACGTTTCCCTATCCTGGACATTTCAAAACTTGCTTTCTTGCTATTGATGTCACTTTCATTTTGAGTTGAAGTGATCTTGAATTAAAATAAACTAAATTTAAACCTTAAATTTGACCGGAACATGGAAGTCAACGTAATTTCATAACTATATTTTGAAAATGGGATGTAGAACATCAATATTCCACCCATACGAGCCTATTTGATTGACGTGACTGGCGTGTATCAGTTTCGGGATTTTGCTGATGTTTAAGTAAGTCCCGTTGATTTATTGATTTTCCTATGCCTTAGGTGAAGCCCAGTAAAGTTTGATGCTAATGTATATTCAGTTGACACGTTCCAGACATTCCAGACAGCATATTTGGGCATTCCATAATAGGAAATTACTGAAGTAATATTTGGATTCCAAGATAACTTCGGCAAGCACGCCTCATTCGATCGGTCAAAGTACAATGCAGTACTGTATCCTGTACAGTACTGGAAATTTCGCTCTCACGAAGAAAAGACACCTTCATAAACCATTATGCTTCAATGATTCATGTGGTTCATTATTTTATTCTATTATAGACCCTATCCATCAGACCAGAAGAAGTGCGGGCAAAGAGTCCCAGTCTGTTTGTCTCCATCGAGTACAAGCCATTTTCAAATCGCCTGAAAGTGATGGTTCGGAAGGCCACAAATCTTCCTGATTCTCGTGGACTCGTGAGTTATTGAACGACAGTATGTTCGATATGGAATCTATTGTTGCAAGCATATTCTTATACGAGGGTTTTACCAAATGTTCACGGAATATCAATGGAAACGGCGTACGATTCAGCCGAAAATCAAGTATTGTTCAGAAGAATTATTCTTTGGCGCAAAAAAATATTTCAGCCCTATTCGACTTATCTTTCAGGAATTTTTGGAAAATGTCACCCTGGTGAGAGCTTTCTGCTCTTCATTCGAAAGATAAGGTGCCCATCTCGCAGATATTTTGGTGCAATACAGGTTATCCTTCAGAATTCTTGAAATTTATACTGTATGGCATTAATTTCAATGGTTTCCTACATTATTTGATTATGAATGCCGCCATTTTCATCAAAGTCTCCTTCACACTCGCCGATCGGGATGAAAATGTAGCGGTTGTGAAGGCGGCTGGTGTTGAAAATGGCGGGATTACCTTAGAGGACCCGGAGGCAACCCTTGGGATTATAATTCCGTGTCGACTTCAAGATTTAAAGAATTCTGAAGCAGAAGCTGGCCAACACAAAAAAAATTTCGAAATGGTTGTCTCATCTCTTGAGTCTTGTGCGAAGAGCAGAATGACTTTTGCAACCAAAAAAAAAAAAATTGAACTCGGCTGAAATTTTCCTTGTGCTAAAGAATGTTTATTCGGAACGAAGATTGTTTTTCAGCTCAATCAAATGCAATTTCAATCTCTATCCCACGTTCGGTTGGACCCGTGTGCAGTTCGCTGAAAGATCGTTGCATGAAGTTTGTGTTGACATTGATATAGGCTGAGCATTCTTTGATACTACTGTACCATATTGAGCTGCCAATGTAAGATATTTTTAGGTACCCCCGCATTATTACGTCATCGTGAACCTGTGCCACAAAGACGAGGAGGTCTCCTACAAGGAAACGCGGTCGATCAGCGGACGGAATCCAGTATGGAACACCCCATTTATATTCAACATCAAAGCTGAGGATGTGGAAGATCACTGGCTGCAGTTGATCGTCATGCGTGGCAGGATTTACAGCGATGATTGTGTTGTGGGCCACGTGCTCGTCGGCAAGGACACGACAGCCCGTGGAGTGGAGCAGTGGATCGAAACCACCAAGCCTTACAGCAAGGAATGTGCGCAATGGCATCCGATAGTGCCTCTTTAAATTTCGGCACTAATCTGTTCTTCCTTCCGATTTGAATTTTTTTTTGGCAAATGTGAATGAAGTGAGCAGAGCTCGCTGAACGGTGCGGCGCGCGGGTGGAAGGATATCTTCTTAAATTTGAGTCTAATCTACAACGAATTTCTGCAATCGATCGTGATTGAAAGTCAACAAAAAGATCTTGGTTCAGCATTTGTTCATACGATTCATTTAGACTCTGGAATTCAACCGACTTTTTGCAATAATCCATGCATAACGCTCAACAATGAATGCCAAAAATGAAAATTCAATATAATTTTCTTGCGGTTTTCCAGGAATATGAACTCGTTTATTACAATTACTTGAAGTAAAAATAATTCTTGGATGCATGCACTAAAGGTGGTGAATATGAGAACAGTATTATCTATTTGATTATCATATCAAGAGGATCCGAAGACTTCGCGCATTCGTTTTATGGAGCATTTCCGAGTACAGTAATTAAAAAATGGGAGCGCTGTACTCGATAATATTTTACGGTATTTCATTTCCAAGTAATATTTTTTTCCTGATGAAGAAGTAATGAATTTCTCGAATGACTTTGTACATGTCAGAATTTTTCCTTCATCGGCGAGCCTTCGGAGATAAACAGCCAAATAATTGTTTTCTGGCCATCATTTCATTCAAATTAAAATCCGAGAGTTTGAATATGGCTGTGTATAGGCATATTTCTGGTCCATGAAATGGAGCTACACAGTACGCCAAATGCAGTACTGTGCTGCATTTCGAAAAATTAGTGAATTGCGAGACTGTTTCTGCTTCCTCGTGTATTTCCCTCAACCGAGCAAGTCTAATCACGCCGTGGTCATGTCTTGCCAGCAAATTTATTGAACTTACACTACATAGCGCGAAGATCCATAAGGATAAGCGTGAATACGAATTTCTTTTGGGTTCCAACTTAAACATATGTGGGAGCAGAGGAAGGATTCCGCGTGTCATCTGTTTTACCCTGAACAACTCTCAAGTCTGCGTTCGTTGGAGTCCTCGATTCTTTGCGCCAGGTGTCGTACGTTTCGGGCGGAGGCAGTTTCTTGTATCCGGTGGCTGGCAGTTGGAACCAACCCGGCGCTGTTCCGGCTTCCTGAAAATATTCGACACTCAGTTTAAACTGAACGTCTCAATCGAGTCAAGTTTCGTTCGTTCTCGTCATTAGGAGCGCGAAGCTCAATGGGAGAATGCGTTTCTCAGGGGGAACTCAGCACGTTTCCACGTGCTCTCGTTTCGGTTACGGGACGACGGCGAACCTGGTTTTTGTAGTGCAGCAATCTTTGGTAATCCAATTGTCCGAGAAGTGCATCATACTGCTGCCTGTCGCGACCAGCCGGTACAGCGACCTCTTCAGTTGACAAGAGCCTGGAACGTTTGCCTCCTGGTGCCCAACCTCGGGAAAACACGATCTGGCAATTAGCGACGGCCAGGAAAATAAACCCTGCCATCAGCAATAGCCTGAAAAAGGAACCTCGATATTTAATTGTTCTTAGGTAAGACCCGAGGTCTTGCCTTGGGTGCAAGAATAAATATAGAATGCGCAGATAATTTCACCTCTATGCATGCACGTGCTATGGACACTCATTACAATGATGCTCATATTATTACAGGAAAAATTAGTTTTTCAATCATTCTGCTCTGGAGCTGCTGCTTCTAACCCTCAGACGGCAGAGGGTTCTTTCCCATAGCAGGACGGAGTCAGATTATTTTCGTATCCTCCCGCATTTTCATATTTTTGAAGGTCAGGAGAACCCTTCCAGGTGGGCTGAGGTGAAGTTGGGATAAATAAAAAAAAAGCTTGTAGCCTAACTGTGAATTTTTTTAATTTTCCCCCGAAAATGTTCTGTGCCCAGGGGAAAAAATATTGGGATTTTTCCTGACTTTGCCCTCAACACCCTGTGAACATTTTTTTCTTCACCTCTCTGAGTTGCAACGAAATTTCGCAAAAATAGTCCGACTTTGCCACCCAAGGGCTAAAGCACAACTTTCCAAAGTGAGCCAAACAAAAACAATTGTTGCATGTGGATGATATTGTTGTAAAGCGGAGTTTCTTGACATTTTGAATGTAAGGAACACTTTCTGAAACTTATTGCTCATTCTCATTGACCCATTTATGAGGCAGAATCCCCTGTGCCTACTTCATTTTAAGCAATGTTTTGGGATTTCACACCGCGAAAGCTTCCTGCTGTTGAAGTCTTTACCCTTATAGTTGCTGAAGAGCGTGATGTTGGTATTTCATAATCCATCCGGGTTTGAAATATTGTTATAATATTAAATTTTTATCTAATTTTTCATGTATAATTCCATTCAAATGAGAAGCATTTGCTGAGAACTGCTGCTGTTGACTAAATATTTTTTCGAGGAGATTCAGTTCGTAGGATGAGACGTCCACTCGTAAACGAACCATGGTTTGATCGGGATATTAAGGCATTCAGCAAGTTAATGGTAAGTGTATATTCTCAATGGGGGTCAAGTAAGTTTATCAAAAGACTGAGCTTGATGAAAATAGAAAAGGATGGACGCTGAAAACTCACGCAAGCTGCTTCATGGCTGAGAATAAGTACAGAAGTGAAACCGCCAAATGAACAGCGAATCGGACGGGTCAAGGATCTTCGGCGTCCACTGAGCAACTGAAACGAATCCAAGACCCGAGAGGGATGATACCTGGGCTTTTATGCTCACCCAGGCTCATCAAGGAATTCTTTTCAAGCTGTAGCTATGCAGCAGGCACAAACGTAATTCAGCCGCGGTGTGCGGACAAACACTGGACCTCGGGTCATCACGCGGTGTGCAGTTTTGTGTCACCCTGGGCCAAAACACCTGCAGCTCCCACATTTCAAAGCCAAGTTCCCCAGAGAATGCATCTTCTTAGGAAACCAATTTTTCTGGGCTTGTATACCACACCCACGTATGCATCTGGCAGAAGCGACTTCTTATTGATGCGCGAGGACTGAAGGCTATGTATGCTCTTCGGATGACCTTTTTCTTGTTTGTTTTTGAACTGGACTTCATCATCTATTTTTCTGTATATCTGCGAGTGGCCCAAACTGGGAATCATCCCCCAGGTACGTGTCGTCACACCTTCAAAAATTAAAAATTATGTTTTCTTACTTAATACAGTACGCATAAAAATGAGGGAGTCCTTCGATCATGAACTTCTCTCTATTCACGAATACCTCAACAAAGTGCCTATAATAACAAAACTTCCTCAGTGCTGAATGTCGAAGCATGAAAAAGAACCCACCATGGGCATCTGAGCGAGATTCTTTTGAACCCGCGACGTGATCAGGCGGACGGGTATATGAATAAAAGACGTTGTCGGCATTAACCTGGAGGCTCATGAATTGATCAACGCTGCTCCAAAGATAAAATGGATCCCTAGAAACTTCTGACTTTGAAAACTATTCTTGGAAATGCTTGCTCCGTATGCACAAGGTTGGATTGATCCAAGTAAGCTATCATTATGCATTGACGCTCGTAAAAGTAGATCACTCGAGAAATGTTTGCGCAAGTTCGAGTACTGGCTTCTTTGATTTCATGGATGCCTGATTATTTTCATCTTTTCAGCACAGTGTGTCAAGAAAACGCATGATACAGTACTCTAGTTTGCTTTCAGACTTCAAACGTTGTCTGCTAGTTGTGCCTCTTCATAGTCTTCAAGTACATAAAAGGCAATTATCACGTAATTTCTCAGGATCATTTCTCGTTTTCCAACGCCAGTAAAACCGCTCTAATGATCCATGGTTCGAGGGTGATGTTGTGAGTGCGGAATCGGGGATTCTTCGAAAATTTGACAACGGGCAAGGACCTGAGACAATACTGTACTGTATTTGAATTGAGATAGGCAAGGAATTACCCATCATCGGTGCATACTTATGGGGGAACACGTTGAAATGGAGTGGAACGAGATCAAATCAAGAGCGAAAATACCAAGCAAGCAGTAAACTTTATGATTTTTGTATTATCCTCGAGTGAAAACATAAGGCACGATGAATAAGAAGTACTAGATTCGAAATTCTACACGTTTTGGGACGGCTGCTGTCGTGGAAATGCAAGTCCAGGCATGATCAAGGCTTTGCTGACTGCACATCCGAACCTGTTATACAGTAATTTCTTTGATGATGAGGACCCACTGATGCAAGTGGAACGTGCCAGGCAACGAGGCGTCAAGGTGTCACCCGCTAATTACCCTCGGTCGTCCCCATTACGTCTCCACGGCACGTCGGGAAAACCGAGTCGTGCGATTCGGATTAAGCAGAGTTCCTTCGGGCCGGAATAAAGTGGTCAATAAAGGAGAAATCCCTGGGAATTTATTCCCCGCTGGGGGACTGTTTCCCCAACGACAAGCATTCCCCATTTCACCTGATTGGACTCGATTCATCACTGCTGCGAAAAGCCCATCATGTGCGATGTGACTCGGTCGCCATTCAAACCTCATTCCATTACGGCGTCGGAATGAAATTTTCTCGCCCGCGCGGGTTTTCTTCCTGGAGTCGTCGGCAGCGCTTCGTTCTCTCCTTGCCACATCGACGCTTCCCATCCTATTTGCTCCTTACTGGGTGTCGCAATGCTTTCCCATGTTTCTCTCAAATCCCCTCGGCTCCCACAACTGAAGAAATAACCCGGGAGACAGTGACGCTACTCGGGCCCATTTGTCTGGTGGAACGAGACCCGTCGACGCGACCGAACTCACGGTACCCTCTCATCCCAATCCCAGCCAGCGCCACCGACAATCAATAATTTTCGTCTTTTACGCCAATTTGAATGAATATTTTCTCCCCCTCTTCGAAATGGTCCCGGCGAAAGAAACCAGTTCTACCAGATTGTGCTTTTTAATCACACAGTAATACAGTAATGTACTATAAAATCGAGTCTTGAAAAAAAAATTCTGAAAAATAACTCGAAGAAGTTTCTGAATGTCAATAAAGCCGAAAAGAGATACAATGTTTTGAAGATCCTCTCGGCGATTTAGTCCGCTCTTCACCGGGAAATTATATCAATAGTTTTTGTCTTTTTACGCCAATTTGAAAAAAAAAATTTCTTCCCTCTGCAAAAGGTTTTCGGTGGAAGAATCCAGTTCTTTCGGATTTCACTTTCGAATCAAACAGTACTGTGAATCGAATCTCAGGGAATTTTTTTTTCTGAAAAATATAACTCTAAGTCTTACCTAAAAAAAAGGTGCTAAGTTCAGAGAAACCATTCTTCATTGGGAAATCATAACTTTTCGAGGAATATTAGCACGAAATTTCTCTGCGCATTTCGAAATTCGTGATCGGATTTCGCTGAACGTCTGCACTTTTGATTAAAGCTCGGATGTAGCTAATGATCAGCGCAAAAATAATGAGATAAAAAAAGGACCCGAGGGGAAGAAGAAAACACATATACAGTATTTGGAGTCACCCGGTGTTTCCCGCTAACGCGGTTTCTTTCCCCATTTATTCCATTCCCCTTGTCGCAGTCGTCGCCGGAACATCTGAGGTGGAATGATAATCCCACACGATTCCCGGGATCCCCAACATGGCTTTGAAGATGGTCCCTAGAGACGCGTGGTGCTGTGACAGCGAGAAAATATTTAATGTCGACGGGCGTCGATGCGCTATGCTACCTTTGGGTGTGAAGGTGCTGGCGGCGGAGGGGGGGTAACAAAGCCAATTGGCGAGTTCATGACTCCAGTTGCTCGCCTGGTTCTGACAAACCTACGGCGAGGGTTTCTTTTTTCTTCTTCTTCTTTTCCACCAGCATACGAATTTTATAAAAGCAGCTTCTGGTTCTTCGGGTCCGATGAACGAAGCAACAGGCATAACAAATTAATGCGTTATTTTATTTCTTACGACTCGGAAACCGCATTATTGAGAGAAGGACGTGGATGGGGAATCCCAGGCATGATAAAAAGAAAGTGGTGCCTCAGATAGGTCTTCCATACTCAAAAATACTAAGCTATACTGTACATTGTTTTTGACATCGAGTTATTCTGCCGATAAAGTCAAGTTTTCAGAAATTAATTGCCTGTCGTAAAAAAATATTTTTTTTCAAGGCCGGTGTAAAACTTTTTTCTTATTTCTCTATCATTGCATAGTACTATGGAGAAATAACCCAAGAGAGCAGGAAAACAGCAATAAATACATTCGAGCTCAGAATTTTGTGAAAAAAAAAAAAAAAATGTTTATTCTGGAATCCGAACATCATGACGTTATTTGACCAAAGTGCACGTAATATGAAATTTCAAAGCTCACCATTTCCATCAGGTGATGCAATTGAATGGTTCACACTGTTCAAGCTGGTCTGTACAATTAGGGCAGTTATTTTATCCACAGGATTAAATCTCAGAGAACCTTGTGTACGTTTAACAAGATTCTCTTAAATATCTGTCAGTTTTATTTTGGAAGATTGTTCAAACTTTGTTTGTTGTGAATGAAATATTTATATACAGTATATACATATTCAAAGTTTGTTTTATTTAATGGACAACAAGATTTTAACTACAAGGGGTAGAGAGGCTTTAATATGCTAGTTTATATTCCTCTGGTGGAAGTTCTTCCAGAAACCAAATACGGAAGCATTGAGTGGGTGCGTGTCGAAGGCAAACACAGACATTATCTGCAGCAGAGAGCGAGGTTAAGTGTGATGCGGTGGGGAACAACAACCCCGGGGGTTGAAAACTTGGAAGCAGCCTCCTATGCTGGTGGCGGCGTGGGTTTCGGATGAGCGAACGGCGGCCTCAGAATAATCCCCCGGGACATCGTTACATTCAATTTCTGCCAGGGATTAATTCGATCCGGTGCCCCAATCATTTCCCCGACGTGGCGGATCCGAAGGGTGAACAGTAGAGGTCAGGAGCTTCCGCCGGAAATCCCCTCGTCAGCTTTGCCGCATCTTTCCTCGTTGCCGCAATTCGTTGTACGTCGGAGGACAAACCCCCGATCATCCGGCTCCGCGTCATCGACAGCATCAGACCTGAATCCCTCACAAACATTTCCGCAGCTTTCCTGGTTATGACACGAGGTTTTCTGTTTTTTCTTCTTCTGTTTTTTCTTTTTTTTTCAGGGTCGAATAAATCATCGAGTGGTTTCGATTAACCTGCGCCGTCATAGGAAAAAGAACGAGATAATTTGGTTTGCATTGCAAATTTCTGAGCGAAAAGGCCAAAGAATAACAACCACCATCACAGGTTTAATGATGCTATCTTTTCACGACTATTGGAAATTGTTATTTTTTTCCTACCAGAGATAACTGCTACTGATGCACTCACACGGTTGCTCGAGAATAATTCTTACTCGAAAATTTTCGCTGTGAATACATCTTTTTTTTTGCTCGAGTTAAATAAGCAGTGTTTGGAACATCTACCTATTCAATGAAATTCCACTTGAAAATGTCACGGATCATCAAGTACCGTACTGTATAAAAATATTTTATATAAATCTAAAATAATAAAGAAAATTTCGCACTGTGACACTTTAGTAGTCTTTACGTGCAGTTGCTATAACCAAATTTCTAAATTAAAATCACCGGCCGTTTTGCTTCATCGTAGATTTAGCATGATTGATCGAATGTTTGATCAGCAAGAAAAGACCGGATATTCGAGATTATACTGAACTTTACAATGCGTATTCTGGTACTTACATTGCGGCCCGGTATTAAAGATACTGTAGTTCTTGAAAATAAAATCTGGTTTCATCGGTGTTGTTACAAAAAGCATAGGGGATCAAAATGTGAAAATACGGATGATAGGTCAGAGATGAGTACTGTTATGCTTTAGCCATGCGCACCTCGGGCCAAAACTTGACGAGAAAAACGCAAAAATCTTGTGCGTTTCAGACAGGCGTGAATTCGCACTGCACGAAGAAAATACCAGCAGGTGTTGTATCCTGTACTAATAACAGATTACGATTATTAGTGAGAGAGAGAGAGAGAGAGAGATAAATAGAGAGATGGACTGTATGGGAATGAATGTGGCCAAGTTGAGTTGTTCACGAGACAGTCCGGGTTTACCACCGGGGGAACAATAAAACCCGCATCACCTCTCCGGTCTTTGATCCTGAGCCGTTTTCCGCTGCGCTGGAGAGGATCCCATTAATTTGCGAGGCACCGATACCCATTGCAACGAGCCCGCTCACGCGTGTCCCTATTAATGTACTCTTTCGCCTTCTGACGACGCCGCTTCACAAACTTCATTTCTCGGGGATTTGCGCTCATGGCTTTTCCCGTGATTGCTTCCCAACCCCGGTTGGCAGTGGTCGGGAAATCCGAGGGATTTTGCGACCCAGAGCCGATTCTTGCCGCCCTCGATTCCCAGGCCGGAATTCGGCGGCGCTTCATTCATTCCTTGTTAGACGTGAATATATACACTGTGTATAGGGCTGACAACCGGCATCGGAGTTTCTCCGCTTGTGCTTCGAAGGGACTGTGTTGAACTCGTGTGTTGGAGAGAGATTTTCGGAGCAGAAACAATTCTTTAAATCTGAGAATTCGTTTCCTGTTTTACTGCAAGATTTGGAGATTTCGAGAAGGAGCATCACAATTGAAAAAAGGGAAAGGGCTTGAGCTGCTTTCCATGAACCACTGGAAGATATTAAAGCAATAATTCTCGCACTAAGCTCTGACGATCCATTTCAAGTTCAGCTGATTAATTATCCTAAGAAAATGTATGCTACTGTCCTGAGCGGAATAAACGCAAAAATCCCAGCTGAGTTTGCCCTTTTGAACAATATATGAATAAAGAAAAGAGGCAATCAACGCGTACTTTTCAATTTCACTCGAACCTCCGCTTTCCCGTCACGTCGACTTGAATTTTTTCGAAAGCAGCATCCCAAGTTTCAGGTATCCGAGAAAATATCCAAACAAAACTTGAGAAGCAAAATAAGAGAAAAATTTACTGAAGCAGAAAAATCCTGAGGATAATATTCGATGATCACGTTAAGTTAATATCAAATATCACCCCATCTTTTTATTTTAAATTACCCGTGATCAATTATCCAGAAAAAAAAACCGACCTGTCAATAGTCCAGATAACCACGGCTCTAAAGCACTTGTTTTGACAAATATACGGCAGAATTTGTCCCGAAAACGGCATTTTTTAATTACGATCAATCGCGTCCTATAATTACGGGACACTTCCCATGAAGAGCCGTGTCTACTACATGTAGATTTAATTAAACAACAAATTGAACGCCCAAGAAAAATGAATTTGTCCGATAAGAATTAGCACAGGCTACAATGTCCCTAAGTCAGAGCAAAAATCTTCAAGACAGAGCCTTTTAATTTGCTAGGCCTAATAAGATTATTGTGCCAAGATTGAGGGGCCTCCACAATAGAAATTGCCGGCCAAAAGGATATGCTGCTAATATCAAAAAGGTTAGAATCGCCTTTTTGGAGAACGCGTGGGTATAAGTACAAAAGCGATGCAGTACTTTCCTAGTCCAAATATCAGGGATATGCACGTGAAAAAAAGAAGTTTTTGAAAATGGTCTTCACATAAATTGAGTGTGCATTGCTTGGTGTGACATTAGTCTGAGGTCTAGGGAGGAAATCATGCTTCAAACC